TGTGTGTGTGTGTGTGTGTGTGTGTGTGTGTGTGTGTGTGTGTGTGTGTGTGTGTAGATTAATTTTATTTATTAATTTTATATTAAAATATTTGTTCCTATATATTTTAAAAGGTTTTTCATCTTGTTGACTTTGAAGCATATTATACAAATCATACAGAGAAAATTTCACAAGGCTTCATTGTACCCATCAAAAACATTGCTACTACCATGCGAAGTGCGTGTGTCATTGAAGGTGTGAGTAGGTGAGCAAATTTTATCTTTACTATAAAATCATATCTAATACACACGTGCGCGCACGCACACACGCACGCACGCGCGCGCGCGCGCCTACATACCTATCTTTTTTCAAACTTTACTTTTTAAATCTTAGGTCACGTAATAATTTATTAAATGGAGACACATCTAATTACGATTGGGATAGTGGTTATACGTGCCATCAACTTGGTTCGGGATCTATTCTAGTACAATTAGGCCAGCCATATATGATAGGATCAATGCGGTATGATTCCTACTTGTGTACTTATGTGTTACTGTAATCATGTTATTGTAATTAATTAACTCTCTAACTATTTTTGACAGATTACTACTTTGGGATTGTGATGATCGTTCTTACTCATATTACATAGAAGTATCAGGCAATTCCTGGAATTGGGTATCAGTCGCTGATAAAAGCGAGGAAACCTGTAAATCTTGGCAGACGATACGTTTTCCACCCCGTCCAGTAGTTTTTATAAAAATAGTGGGTGTTCACAATACTGCAAATGAGGTTTGTATCTAATCAGATTATTTATTTTGATATGTTTTTTATGGAATGTAACAGATAAATGATCAGAATGTTTGCAGGTGTTTCATTGCGTTCACTTGGAATGTCCAGCGCAAGTAGATGATAAGAATTCAAAATCGCCAATGGACAAGGAAGCACAAACATCAACATCATCGGACGGTAATAATTCCATACTTCCTCTTCCTCCTCCGCCTCTTCCTGAGGTAGCCACAGAAGCGGTTCACATTGATAGTGATGAATCGTAATTAAAATAAAGAGTCTGCATAAGACGAAACATGAGTAACAGCTCTGACGATTATTTTGTAGTTGCTGCTCTTGTTATGTAAGCTAGATGAATGTAAAGAATTCGTCGAGTGACCTCAATGCAACTTTTAAGACTGTTCAATAATAATTATCCAATATAGGATTAGTCACTTCGTTTTCTTGTTACGAGTTTTAACTTTTATCATCACGCCAATGACTTTAAGTATAAATTATACACGTAGCAACTGCCAATTTTAATTAGCGATATAAGCCATTTTTTACACAAATGCTTAATATCTGTAATATTACAATAAAGTTTTATTTCAATATTTATTTTACTTTCTACTTTAGTATATATATATATATTTTTGTTATTATATGTTTCGTCGATTTCGTATAATTTACATTTAAATTACGCAACAATTTGATTTACTACGACAAAACAAATGCTATCTATATTAACAGACATACAATATGGATATACATATTCCAGTAAATAAATAACTTATTAATACTCATTGGCAAATTACAAAAATAAGTAGATATGATAGCATTTATCTGGACATAGTTTACATAAATTTTACAATACACACCTAATACTATTATAAGTACATACATTTATTTACAATACAATTAATTACAATATACAATATATAATATACATATAATTAATTATGTTACATATTATATAATATGTAATAATTATATATTATATTACATATTATATATTATATTATATTACATATGTTGATATTATATAATTATGTTATATTTTATATACTATTAATTAGGTAAGATATAAATATCTGTAAATATATTTAGGCCCGTATTCGCAGAACGCGTTTATAACGATATTAATGCGCTAACATATTATATTTTACGTTATGTATGTTGTAAAATTTCAAAAATAAAAGCGTGTTTTTATCGATAAAAATCAAAAATAAAAGCGCGTTCTGAATACGGATCTTAAACTTTGCTCATATGTACTCGTTTGTTTGTCAAATTTTTAATTTCTCTTTAATTTCTCTTTCGTAAAATGATGTACTATACTAATTTATCCAAGAGACATTAATTTATTAATATCGAAATATTAAAGTTAAAAAAGATTATCAATCGAATACATATGATTATGATCCTAAAATTAATTAAGATTGTCTATTTCCAATGTTAGCAATATTCTCAAATATTTTACTCTAAAGCATCATGACAAATGAATTAAACGTTATTATAAATTGGCAGTTGCTGTGGATTGTTTTATATAGGTATAGAAACTATCTTTAAGTTATTCTATGTTACCAAATATTTTATAAGCACGCGATTACCTATTATCAATACTCTATTAAAATAGTGGTGTCTGGTTCTACAGTATTTTCTCGTTGTACAAGTATTTTTTTGTAGAAATTTGCGAATTTAATCTTGTGTACATACGTACAAATAATATTATTTTTCTAGTCTACATATATCGAATGTAGAACATTTTGAAAATTTAATTATAATAAATTATAATAAATTATAATAAATTGAATATGAAAGTTTAATTGCAACGATTAATAAAATTCGAATATAGAACTTTTGACTTATTGAGCATTATTTCGATCATCCGTCGACTATTCTTATTTATCAATTCTTCTCTTTTTTTTTCAGAGTGTCCAGCTATTCTTGAATGTCTTTGAATCCTGGAACTATCCTGGAATGTATTTTGAAAAACTCCTACAATTTCAGGACTGAAATTTTTGTCACTCTTTCGTTGAAAAAAATTGGATTATGAAAAAAGAAAGAAATATTTTCCGCGCGTGCACAAGAAATATGAATTTTAATGAATTTTGTGATCATTTTAATTATTTTAAATAAAGACGAAGCTTTAAAAGCAACTGCGGACATTAAAAATTAGATTAATAATTTAATGAAGCATCAATAAATTAATAATTTTATAAAGTGATGTTTGTGATAAGTTAATAAAAAGAAAAGTATTATTTGGATATAAGCTCTCGCTTAAAGATGCAATAATGTAAGTTACTAATAGAAAACTTTGAATTAATGTCTACGATTATAAAATAGAATATAGCAGAGAGATTATCATTGTGTTGAATGTTCGTTTATTATTTATAAAGCATTAAATAATATATTGTTCTAGATTTATTTGTGTTTTAATTAAAATTCATCACATAGGATTCTAACTTAAATACAAAACATTGAGGAGTAGCACTTTCAAAATGCGTTTTGTCGAAAATTTAATTTTTAGAAAACGAGAAGGAAAATCACAAGGAAAACTATGTGCCTTAAAGAAAATAACAAATTTGTTGATCAGTAAGATGTAAAATATTAAACAAAATTGCTAAACTGTTTCTAATAATATTAAACAAATATATTTGTTTGTTTCTACTTAAACAATATAGTGCACTTCGAATATCTAGACTTTTTTCATAGCATATAAATTGATGGTGAAAAAATTCAGAAAATCTTAGTAGCTTAAAATATGAAGAATCTTTCAAAACTGAACACTATGCCATCTCTAACTCAAGAAATGAAATTTTGGACAAAATGCATTTTGGAAGTCTACTCCTCATATATTTTGTGCGAATCAATAAAAATTAATTAACTAATGAAACTTATTAGACCTGGAAGAACTAGGATTTTTAAAATATCCTGAAATTGTTTTTGAATTGAGCACGTATCACTGGACATCCTTTTTTTTTGCATTGCTGTTGTAAATTAAAAAGTCACTTCAGTCACTAATAATGTAATGTTAAAAATACATAAAATTGACATAAATTATATCTTCTAAGGTGTGTCTATCTTTAAAATTTAATGTGTTTCTCACATTAAATTTTGTTAATCATAAACGAATAATTTTTATGTCGAAATAATTTATATAGCATGCGTGCGCGCGAAATAAATTCTTTTCACGATTTTTCTTTCAATAATGGATGAATTCATAACTATTGCGTAAGAAAAATTTGTTTCACAGATATACGAATATTTATTCGATTGTTATCAGCAAAATTAATGCGAGAAATATGAAAATCATATTTTAAAAATAGATGTATACTAGAAATATAATTAACATAAATTTTATTCATTTTTAACAATATTGTCGAAAACAGTTTTTTAATTTCAATGGCGATGTAAATTAGAATTGTCAAAAAATAAAGATATAAAAATAAAAAAAAACATTTTGTTCTTGGCCTTTTGTCTTAGGCCGCGTTAAGCACAGTTTAAATACTTTTATTTGAAATATAATATTTGAAAGAAAATTTGTATCTATTTCAAAGCAGATAAAAGTATTTTATATTTTATATTTTAAATAACTAAGATTGACAATATTTTCTATTTTCTATTTTAAATACTTTAATGATGTATTTATGCTCTATCTAATTAAAGAGTGAATGTTAGAAAGAAATAAGAATTACTGCCTCTTCTAGAAACTTTAATGCAAGAGAAATAAAGTTTTCTCGCAATGTCGTAGCGCTTAGCTTTATTGAAAAAGTTTAACAAGTTTATATATATTATAATAAAGAGATAGAAAAAGTATTTTATATTTCAAATAAAACATTTGAAAATATTTTGTATTTCAAATATTTTAATTATGTATTTTGCCCAACTCTGGGTCACGTGCTTTCCTTTCCTTTTTCTCAGATCGAAATGAGTTGTCAAATCGCGCGCTCGGAAGTCGTCACGAGCGGAAGCCACGCGCGGCGATGGTGGCGCCAGTGACGGCGACGACGACGACGACGGTGACGGTAACAATAGGCGCGATTGGGCGCCATTTTGTTCGCTCTTTGCATCGCAAACAGGCGAGGTACAGCGTGCAGCGGAGAGATAGTCGTCCTCCGAGGAAAAAAAGCAGTTTTCTAGCAAAGCCTTGGACGGATTTCGTTCTCGCTCGTCTTTCCTCCTCCTTCTTCTCCTTCTTTCACATTCCTGTCCCGCGTGTCATATTCTTTTCTCTTGTTCCACGTCGAGCTGCGGTGCAAGCAGCAAGCAGCGTTGATGATTGGGATTCCGCGGGACGATCGGCACAAAATCACAGTCAAGATCCGCAACAACATGAAGAGGAGCTCAAGTCGTGATACCCCGCCTCCTCGTGTTAAGCGGAGCCGCTCTTCCATGGGACGGTAAGATATCTCGCGATGTCGAACGAAAAACTCACGTATCTCTCCGATGGCAACTTCACGCGGCGTCTTCTCTTGGCCAAACAAGTCCCGCTCGATCCTTCCGCGTTTACTTCTCTTTTTTTTTCCCTCGCTTCGCAACGCCGAGATTGTTGTTCTGTGTAATTATGATCGCTGACCTGTGATACATAGCATCAATGATGTTCGGATTTTCTTTTTTTTTTTCGTCGCTATTGTTCTGCGCACGTAGGTAATATGTTACGAGTGTGCGTTTTGTGTGTGTGTGTGTATGTGTGTGTATGTGTGTACAAGTATGTGTACGAGTGTGTATGTGCGTTTTGCGTCGAGTGAATTACTCTTCATTCAGTCACTACAGCTGGCGAAACGTGTATTTATGTTTGATATTTAAAACTTATTTTTGATTATGAAGCTTTAAAAGAATTCATATTTTCGAAATTAACTCTGAGTCTCTTCGAAGTAGAAAAGTTCAAAAATTCACACATTCAAGTTTTCATCGAGATAAAATATGAGAGCTATTACTTTTGATTTCAAAGATTAAAAAAATTTTCAAATTTTGAAACTTAACACCTTTGAAATAGAAAATTATAGAAATTCAGATATCCAAGTCCTTTTCAAGACGTATTAAATGTTAGAGCTGTTACTTTTGACTTTAAAGATTCGAAGCTTTGAAAGAATTCGAATTTTGGAAATTAATTCGGAATATCTTTGAAGTAAAAAATTACAGAAATTCACATATCCATGTTCTTTTCAAGATATTTAAATATTAAGGTTCATTAAATAATATTAGGATTGTTAAATACTGTTACTTTTTATAACTTTTAAATTTCGAATCTTCGAACGAATTCCAATTTTCGATAATAACTTTTATTATCTTTGAACTTTGAATGCTATTTCATTTGTGCGTTTTTGTCATATGATAAATGTGTACAGAACAGAAAGCTACTCGGATCTTTTTATCCCAATCAATAGGTTTGAAAAATTTGTCGTACAACAAAAACGCAAGAAATATCATCCTTTGAAAAATTCAAAGCTCGAAGCACTTTAAATTTCAAAAGTTCGGAATTTGAAAATTCTTTTAAAGCTTCGAAGTTATCAAAAATAATAATCCTAGTATTTATAATATGTAAGAAGTCTTAAAGAAAATTTACAATTAGATGTGTGAATTTTTATAATTTTTTACTTGTTTGATCGATTTTCGATACATTCTAAAACTATTAGGATGAATCTTATTCTAAAGAGTGAAATCTCACTCTTAAAGATTGAAAATTGAGCCACTCTTTTCAAGATTAGCTTAATTTTCATTTTTACGGCGATATTCATTGTCCGTTCTTTATTTCAAGACTGTCTTTATTTCAAGTAATGTCTTAGGACGTTAATATTGGTATGGAAAAAAGTTTTCCCGTGGCGTTTTTCCCATTAGATGGTTAAAAAAACGCCACGAACTTTTCCCCTAATATAAACGGTCTTTTGATTGATTGTGATTTCTTAAGACTGTATTTAAGAATATCAGATCTGACTATGAATACCGGCCTTAGAGTAAGATACAATTTCAAAGAGCTTAAAGAATATTCAATGCTTTAATATTGTTCCATTTCGAATGATTTCACTACAATTATTACAGATTTCACTGCAATTATTACAGATGTAACTTGACATGTAATTTTGTTATGTGTGCATGTATTATACGCAGGTGTGGGCAGTATTTGAAAGACATGTATTTAAAATACGTATTAATACGTAAAATATGTATTTAAATACACTTTTGTATTTTGTATTTGAACACTTTTTGAGAATATTTTGTATTTTGCATTTAAATACTTTTTTTTTAGTATTTTATATTTTAAATTTGTAAATACTAAATACATTTAAATTATGTAAACAATTTTTTTATTAAAGTTAAAATCGCACCAATATTGACTCAATCTAAGTGCGTTTCATTTCACGCATGATGTGCATCATTTATTATTGTTTACATTTGGTGAACAACAATCTCTAACGTTGTATCTCAGCCAAGAATGAGCAGCATTTGAAATACAATATGTATTTAACATACATATTTAAATACATTTTTATTTTATTGAGAATATTTTGTATGAGAATATTTAATCCTTTCTTTAGAGTATTTAAATACAATTTTTTAAATTTTTTGTATTTTGTATTTAAATACAATTTTTTGAGTATTTTGCTCACGTCTAATTATACGCTATATTATGCTGTTACAAATGAATGAGAGGAGCATATTCGGTCAAGATACACGCATAATATTTTCAAGGTTCGGAAGTAACACATTACTTGTAATGTCATCATTACAATTATTTTAGTAATGACTAATTAACTTCGTTACATCTCTTTATTTGTAACATTAATAGTAACATGATTATTTTTTTGGATAACAGTAACGAATTTACTTTTACCGTTATTTTGTATACTTACGATAAATTATATATAAAACGTACATAAGTGAGTTTCAAAAATAAAAAGTATTATGTTTGACTATGTCGCAATTAATTATAATCATTATAATTGCTATAGATCTCGTGTTGAATTGATCTCAGTTAGTGACAAAGATAATTTTATTTTTACTATTTTAAAAAGGGGTCAGTAATGGTATTGAGTTATTTTTCAGAAAAAAGACGATAACGAGTTAACTTTTATAAACTTTCTCAACCCTGAATATTTTTGTGAATTTTTACAATTTCTAATTTAAGCAAACTATACTGTTAAATTGCATCTCGTAATTTCTAGATACGATGATTCCAGCGACGAACGGATCAGTCCGGAAAGGATTCGACGACGAAGCCGAGGAGCCAGAAGTCCCAGTCCGCCCACGCGAGCATCGTCTCACGCTCGCTACGTTGAATCCAGTTCCCATCGCGACGAGTATTTACGCGCGTCGCGCGACGTGCCGCGGGAGCGACCCTACAGCTACAAGGTGCTCTGCGTCAGCGCCATCCATCCAAAGGCCAGTGACGAGGTGATCAAGGATACTCTGTACAGGGAATACAAGAAATTTGGGGAGTTCTCCATCCAGATCTCGCACGAACCAGACGAACGTGTCGCCTATGTGTGTTTCCGTAGCTCGGAGGACGCCCGAGACGCTAAACATGCGAAACCGCGTATCATCATGTATGACAAACTGGCCCTGGTAGAGCCGGTATACGATAGACCAGAAACCTATCGCCGTCCGCGATCTATCACGCCGCCGGATTACGAGAGGTACTACGCTCGGTCTCCGGGACCTACAGATCGGCACAGACCTATCGAGAGATACGAGCGTGTATACGGACCACCGGTGGGTCTACCTCCTCATCGGGAAATGCGCCGCGAAACCATTCCGCCGCCGCATCATGAATTCGTCCGACCACCCATACACCCCCATGGACCGCCACACGTTCACCCAGGACCGCCCCATCACTATGGACCGCCGCGACATATGATGATGCGTCACCCAGTACATGGATTCGAGCGAGTGGAAAATAAGAAAGATAAGTTTCCCAATTATTTGCATCACGTGTCACCGGAGGATGATCCTTTAGCTACTAGAACTCTGTTCGCCGGTAATCTGGAGATTAATATCACGGAAGAGGAGTTGCGTCGTATTTTCAGCAAGTATGGCATTGTCGACGATATCGATATAAAGCGTCCACCTCCCGGTACTGGTAATGCATATGCTTTCGTGCGCTTCCAAACCTTAGACATGGCTCATCGATGTAAGGTAGAATTATCGGGTCAATACATCGGTAAGTTTCAATGTAAAATCGGCTATGGTAAAGCAACGCCAACAACTCGGATATGGGTGGGTGGCCTTGGACCATGGACTTCCGTACCACAACTTGAACGCGAATTTGATCGATTTGGTGCGATAAAAAAGATCGACTACATCAAGGGCGACAGTAACGCCTACATTCTTTATGATTCAATCGACGCGGCTCAGGCTGCAGTTAAGGAAATGCGTGGTTTCCCTCTAGGTGGGCCGGAGCGCAGATTGAGAGTAGATTTTGCTGACGTGACACCGGGCTTTGGTTTCAAGCCCAGATCGTATCCTGAGGATAACAATGACTTCAGACCACGTCCAGTTGACTACGAATCTCCGTATGATCCTTATGGACCTGACGGTGAGTTCAGTTACGGACCGAGGGGCTTCCGAGGTGGTAGAGGTAATGCGCCATGGCATGATAGAAGAGGAAGCACTCGAGGTGGTTACAGAGGCTCATATCCTGATGGTTATATACGCGATGAAGCTGACTGGTCCAGTAGAAGACCTCCGCCTGAATTGGAATACGAGGCACCACGTGGTCTGAGAAGATCGCTTTCGCGCGAACCAGGAGTCGACAGATCAAGATCACGTTCACCACGTAGACGACAAATGGACTCTGATTCAGATTCGGAGAATGCTCGCACTGGCATGCTGTCAACGTCTCGTACGTTACCAGACGTTGCGCGCAAGTCAATCGCAGTTTGGCAAGGTGCGTTGATACTAAAGAACTCATTGTTTCCAGCCAAATTCCATCTGACTGATGGCGAGACGGAAATAATCGATTCTCTAATGAAAGATGAGGAGGGTAAACACATGTTGCGCATCACACAGCGATTGCGTCTTGATCAACCTAAGTTAGATGATGTGTCTAAACGAATTCAAACGTCGAGTTCGCATGCTATCTTCCTTGGTTTGGCTGGCTCAAGTACCGCGATTACGAATGACGACGCTAATGTTCAAACGCGACCGCTGCGCAATCTCGTCTCTTATCTGAAGCAGAAAGAAGCTGCCGGTGTGATATCATTGCTGAACAAGGACACGGAAGGCACCGGTGTGCTCTACGCCTTTCCACCCTGTGCATTCTCGACGGAACTTTTGAAACGCACATGTCCTAGTTTAAGCGAAGAAAGTCTTAAGGAAGACCACTTGGTAATTGTAGTGGTCAAGGGGGGTAGCGCCTAATATCGTCTTTTGTGTCCGTATTTTCTACATCGTAAGTGCAAAGATTCTTTAACATGCAATTCCTAAGAGCTTTTCTACTCTGATCATTTAACAAGGAAATGTTTGTCTCAAAATGGATTGAATGGGAAATACGTTGTTTATTGAAAAAAAAAAAAAATCTATAAAATGAAGGAAAATTTTTAATTTTTTTCATATAAAATTAGCGTCGTAAATCTGCATTTTGAACATTGTGCTATACACAGTCTAATCTGAAGTGTGGAGATTTTTGACGGTAAACACTATGTGGAAAAAATTGAGAATTTTTCTTCATTTTACAGTATTTTTTTAGACATCAAATTACAGAAATGAATAATTATATTTCATATTAATTAAAATATCGTGTTTTTCATTCAGTTCATTTTCAAAAATACGTCCCTCGCCAAATGGTCATAATGGATAAGCCTCTTAGATGCGAAACAATGTACAGGACTTGTGAGAAGGAGAACTTGTGTTTTTTGATCGAGTAAGTATTTCGTTTTCTACTGGCTTCCAGACACGAGTTAATCTCATACGATTACAGACAACATCATAATACTTTGATACTTTTTTTATATGAGTGTACATTGACATAGGAATGCCAAGTATATTAACGTTATATTCTATAATCAGACATGTAATAAAAGTTCGTAATGTCTAATTGTTGATTTGAGTCTACTCCAATAGCTAGATTTACACAAAATTGTGCAAATCTGAATGTATATGTAAATTCTAATCGAAATTAGGTAATACGAATTTTTATTGCGCATTATTATAAAGACGATCCTTGTATAGTTGTTAAACTTAATGATAGGCGAGGATGATGCAATTTTGAAATATTACTGGAAAATATTGTCTTCTGTATAGTAATCTTGATTTGTGATATATTTTTTCAGAATTATGACTACTCCACACATATAATGCACATTTTCGACGTTATTGAGAAATTAAGTACTTATTTTCTATCAAAAAACACAACTTTGGTATTGTTCCCTAGTTAGATTAATCAAGTAGCAGCGATTACTAAATGGTAAAGTTTCTATCAGCAAAATCATTATTGACCACATTGAATATTATTACAAATATTGTAATCCTCATTACTACAAGTGATGTATAATTACTTGTTTAAAGTGTAGTGTATACAAGAAGGATCTATTTGTATTATATACATATATACATTATATAACTATACGTACGTATGTCAGTAATAATATTGTGCACAGTTCTTTCACATTTGCAATCAATATAGTTAATATAATTAATTTGATTTCTTGGCCAATGCAAATTGAATGTCTTCTTGAAGCATATGTGTGCACGTAAAAATAATAATTAAATACTTGACAAATATTTTGCTTTAAAATAATGAAATTAGGACAGAGATTCTTTAATAATTGTAATTTTCAATATTAAGTCTAAGACATTTTCATTGAAAAATCTATATACATTTAAATTACTTTACTAAAAATTTTACATTGTTCTCTTAAAAGTAGAATATTTTCAATTATAACGGACACATTGCGTAGTTTTATAACGATATGAGAACTTACAGCTCACAAAAAAAATATATAATTTTTTATAATCATAATGGCAAAAAAATGTGAAAGGTCTGGATTAGAGTATATTTGAGATATGAAAAATTTATATAATTAATCGTTTCACGATTTATTTCTGTATACTTCTTTTGTGTGGCATAACTTTTAAGTGATTGTGCAGTAAGTAAAATTCGTGATGAATGTAGTTACAAGTTCTTAAAGTTTGGACTGTGCCCAATAGTGAAGACAGTGAGGAAAAAAGAGAAAATCTATGAAGAGACCTAAATTTGTTTACTGCAAAATAAAGTTTGTCGATCTGTGTTTTCATAATATCAACAGAAGTTTATCCCTTTTTCAGTGAGGACTGGTTTTTTTCTCTAAAGGACAGTGTTTGGTGGTATTAACGAAATTGAGCTCTGAGTATGTGTCCAGTGAAATGTAAAAAAAAAAAAAGAAAAGTGATTGTGCTCCGTATTCCGGTATGGAGGAGAACATCCGATTATCCAAAACGACGTCCGAAGGGTATATTTTTATATTTCTTTCAGACATCGGACGGGAGAAAGGAGCGTCCCTGCCATACTTGAATGCGATTGAAGGTGCAGTGGTTAAGTATATTTAGTGTTTGAACGGAAAAAAAAAATAGATGCAGTTTGTAGAGAGAAAAAAAAATTACAAAATGTGTCAATTTTCTTAATACCGTTTTTCACCTATCAAATAATTCGAAAATTCTCGGGAAATCAGTTAAATATTACAGTGATATACGCGAATGAAAGTTCTAACAACACTATATATTGTTGCACGATAAACTTTACTTAACGGAAGAAAAGATTGAATTTTATACAAAAACTCGTCAAGATTGCAAGCAGTCTAAATTAATATCTCGGCCACATGCATGCATTTTAATCAATGACAACGTTCTATCAATTCAACATGAACGTCCGATATTTTATTGGCCGTAATCTGTCTAATCAAACTTAATTTCTATTGTGAATGGAAGTATTCCAATGAAATACTTCCATTCACGATATCCGAAGAAATTAATGCAAAGAAAAGAGTTTTGTTAGACAGATTAGAGCCAATAAAATATCAGACATTCACATTGAATCGATAGAACGTGGTCATCGATTAAAATGCATGCATATGGCCGAGAATTAATTAAATTGCTTGCGTTCTTGACGAGTTTGATATAAAATTCTTTTCTTCCGTTAAGTAAAGTATATTGTGCAACAATACATGGTGATATCAATCGTTTAGCAATGACAATTTCGGGGAATGGGAAGATGATTAAAAACGCGACTATGTAGGTCATTAAATTCCAAGTGTTTGGTGCTAAAGAATCATTTTCTCGATTTCTCTCGCGTAGGAGGCTGTTTATTCATATACAATTGTCGCCTGTACGGGAAAAGGAGAGCGATGACCGTTTGTGACGTTTTTTGGTGTTTTCTGTGGCTTGTGGATTCTCCCAGAGAAGCAGATAGAAGGTCGCGAATTAAACTTTCCAGGGACTTTAAACTTCGCGTCGTTGTCGAAATTATCCGCGCGATAAAGAATAGCTGTGTCGTCTGCTCGACGTAACAAAATTGTGCATCTGGATGTAGTATCGCGGAAGGGAGAACTATAATGAGAAAGAATAAGAACTGTAGGAATAAAAAGACACAGTGACGGGCGAGAGTCTAAAGAAATCCATATTTTCTCTCGATTCTGTGTGTGGGGCAAGTCAAAGTGAGTTCGTTCCATCAGTGGTTTAATACCCGACTCCGATTTGCGTCAAGTGCTGTGCTGCCTTTTGCTCGCAAATCTTTTCTGGCGTGGATTTGGCTGCTCTACTCGTCGTGTAGTTCCTGGCTGTATTAACAGAAAGGAAAAAAAAAATTCTGTTTCAGATTCCGGAATGGAAGGATAAAGCTCGCGATCGGAGATCTTGTCTCTCTTGTTTGATCACTGTATCCAGATTTAAACAAAAAAAAAAAGAAAAATTAAAAGAATAAATCACAGATCCAAGATAATTTTTTCCTAGTTATTCTTATGAGTGTTTCGCACAACTCACGAATTTACGTTGCAATTCTTATATAATTTATATAAAATTATACGCATGGTAAAAGTATCTGTTTTGGAAAAAAGAGGATACATTTATAATTTGACATAACCTCTAAACTTAACTTAACAAAATAGATTCGCGGGCGAATATGATTGCGATTTATAATTGATTTACTGATAAAATTTATTGACATCATTTTTATAGATGTATTTAATCGTAAACTCCGTATGAAGTATTATTATATTTATTATTTCAAAGTAATTAAAAGTAGATATACTACATATTTTATTAATAGATGTGAGGGAAAACAATTCAACGGAGCAACAGTTGTTGGACAAAGACGGAATACAGCGTCCTAAAAAGGAATACTTTTTTTTTTATACAGAATAGATATATTCGTTCTGCAATTTACATTTATTTATTTCTTTCTCTTCAAACTCAAGGATGCTTTCGTTCCCATTTCAAGCGCAAAAAGAGCAAGCGAGTGCAATTCAAGCGGATAGACTGAACTGAATTCACTGCTAATACCCGTTTCTATTAACATAGTTTAATTTTAATCATGATTTAAATCTTCATTTTTTCTACTTTTAAGAATTAAAAGAGGATGAAAAATAAATTGAACCTGAAAGTTAACTTACCTTGGTAAAAATGAGGATAATGAAGGAGTCTCATAGGATGCGTAACTGTGTTCATGATTAGTAGGCTTCATTCCGACGTTTTCTTTTACATAGGTTTAGTGGATTCCACTGCGTAAGTATTACCTTACAAACACTTACAAAAGGTGTTAATAAGCCTGAAGAAATTGACCAATCATAGAAGATTATTCTTCTCACATTTGATTATGATTGATTAATTTCTTAAAGCTTATTATAGCTATTGTGTTTGTGGAATCATGCATGCTTGTAATTAAAAATTAATCCTACTAATGACGTTAATCTAGTTGACTTAAACAAAAAAATTACACATAAAAGCACATTTAATCGACAACTCTGATTAATTTTGAATAATTACTCAAAATAACTGAAGTAGCAATCTAAAAAGTAATTTACATATAATTTTTCTTTATTTTCAGCCTGCATCTTTTCCGCAAGATACACTTGCTCTTTGCAACAATCTCCTTTCAGTAGTAAATGTAGGTCGAATTCATGGTATATAATGGTATATAACCAGGAATATTATGAAAAAATATGAGTTCGTGCAGGTATCGCCGTGTAGT